CTCTCTCTCTCCCCCCCTCCCTCTCTCTTAGTTCCTAATCTCTCTATCTCTCTCTTTCACCTGATCCCCCCTTCTCTCTATTTTACACACACAGACAGTGCACGTGCGTGCATGCACACATGCACACGCACGCACACACACACACACACACACAAACACACACAAACGCACACACACGCACGCACACGCACGCACACACTCCCATGTGCAGTTGCCATGAAGAGGCCTTCGAGGAAAAATGTCTTAATATAAACGTTTTTGGGGAAATGTTTTATTGATATACATTTGTATATACAGACTGAAAATAAGACTCTGATCCCTCCCTAATCTACTTTTTCAATAATGATGATAGTGATGCGACTTTTTTTTTTTTTCTATGGCCACGGATATTTTTATATACCCTGCAGGATTAAAGTTATCTTTATGTACTGGACAATGCAAAAAAAAGGAGAAAAGAAAGTTGTCAACTTAAACTATGATATGTGAATGTACATGGTGTATTTATTGTCCCTTGTGTCGTTAAAAGGTCTTCAATGAAGACCTCATTTTTCTCAGAAATTTTTTAAGAATTTCACCAAAAGAAGCTCCCAATTAAAAAGTTGTAATGACTTTGGAACTGATTACAACTAGAGATTTACAGGTTTACAAAAATAACAATAAATAAAATAACAAACAAATAGAAATAGAAATAAAAACAAAACGGTTTGTTAGAAAAATCCTGCTTTTTTCCGGTGGCGTAACGCATACAATTATAATTATCTTTGCTATTATTAATATTATTGTTATTGTGCTACATTTCGATCGAAATATAAAACTACGAGATCTACCACAAACTTCCGGTATTTATTTCTCTGAAGCTCATGCATAGGTATCGAACTCATAAATAAAAGGTTTGTTGAACTCCAAAATTGAGGAGTACCCTGGTCAAAACTTGAACTTTCCGAGTAAAAGTCAGAAAAACAGACAACACGGAAGACTTATTGTGAGATGCATTTTAAAAAAGGACGTCCAGATTGTTTTTAAAACTTCGATCAATGGAAATCGATACTCTAATACTCGATTGACAGAAATAAAATAACATTTGCCAGTCGATGTTTTTAATTTTCCGTAAGTAAGGCCAAACTAGAAAACTATGGACATGGTGCAGTTTGCCTACCTTTTGGACAACAGATTCTAAAAACTTGCTCGTCAAAGTCTCTTTTGTCAGCATTATTTTTATCCAAGCAACAACAAGACTCACCCTATCTTGTAATATGGACCACAAATCAGGTAAAATATAGATCTAGATCTAGTTCATCAGTGTAGACGCGAAGTGGCTATGCTATATGATGCGTGGCTCCTGTGTAACTGTACTGTAAGGCAAAGGCTATACTATGGCCCTCCACTTCACACTTCACATAATTATTACGAAGTGTATGCAGACCCGGTAACCGGGAACTAACTCACGAAGTATACAGACCCGATAGGGGAACTCTTTTGTGATTTCGGAAAGTTTCAGCACCCAGACCCGGTAGTGTGTGTGTCACGTGTGTGAGAGAGCAAGAGAGAGCAGGGGGAAGTGCTCTCTATGCTAACAAAATGTATGACATACCCCAGTTGGCAGGAGGGAACGAGAGAAAGATAGAGTGGGAAATAGATGGGGAGAAAGAAAGACAGGGACAAACAAAGAAAAAGAGAATGTGAGCGATACACAGAGACAGAGGAGAGAGAGAGAGAGAGGGGCAGAGAAATAGAGAGGGTGATTGCTCGATTGAAATTATGACATTGTTCTTTTCTTCAAATTGTGATTCCTCCAACTCCAAAACGGAGGAAAAACAATCGTTAATCGGAAAGACATCCGCAATCTTCATTTAGATCTAGGCTTGCCTCGAAACTAGATCTAGACCTAGGCCATAGATCTAGAAGAACCTGAGTCTACCCCCACAGAATTCAACACTTAGTGACTTAGTGTAGAATTCTGTGGTGATCTACCCTGAGCCAAGAGGGCGCTGAAACTTTCCGAAATCACAAAAGAGTTCCCCTGTCGAGTCTGTATACTTTGTGACTTTGTTCCCGGTTACCGGGTCTGCATACACTCCCTAATTATTAATAAGCTAGGCTTTGCAGGCGGCACATATATAAACTATCAAACCGGACACTACAAGTGGAAAAATTTAAACCCTGGAAGCGCGCAGGCCCTTTTTAAAGGGCGTGAGCCAGGCTACCCAGGAAGTGCACAGGATAGGGCTGACCTACTTCGATTGGGAAGCGTGCAGATAAAGGGCATTATAAAAGCGATTATCATTATAATTTTATATCCTTTTTTCAATGGAAAATTTCAGTATTCCTTATATGGAAAATTACGTAGATCTAGATCTAGTAAATTACAGGTAAAAGTTATAAATAGTGACCAGTGACTTTGCAAGTTTATCTTGACCTCGTAGAGCGTCTCTTGGCCAAAGATCGTACATAACAAGAGAGCTCACTCTGCCAAAAAAGTGTCAGCAGAAGTCAGCGCGTTGGTTCAGATGACGCTGCAGTCTTTGTTTTGAAGCTCTCTTTCGTTTCTCCAGCAGAATAGGAACAGCACAGTTTGTTACTTTCACTTTTATTATTTATTTTCACACAAGTAGGGTAACTGATCGCAAAGTTGGCTCTTTTTCGAAGAGGTCGCCACCGAATTTGAGGACACTTTTTTAATTGGCTCAAATAGAGGTGTGAACTATCTTGTTATACACAATCTTTGTCATGGCCAAGATATCGATCGATAAAGTGACGCGGTCCAGTTGAGCGATTATCAAGGCCCTATAAATCTAAATCTATACTTTAGAGGGCCATACGTAGGGGGAGGACCGTACACATAGCCACAGGCTTTCAGAAATTCATTTTTAAATCATTAACTAACTCTAGATTCTAGAATATACACGAGAGCTTAAAAACGGACATGTTGTCATGTCCCAATAGACGCAGCCATCTAATTGATTCATTATCTACCATAACGACACGCTCCTCGTGTACCCCCCCGGGGCGGTGCCACTGACTGATGTGTCTTTAGGCCATTCCCAAAGGGGGGACATTTCTCGTTCATGCACAGTAGAATTGTAAATGGGCTGATTCATCAATGTCAAGCTCATAAGTGTGCCTGATCAACAGCAGGGAACTGCTGCATTTTCTTTCCTAATCCTTACTATTGTCATTTTTCCTCCACTTATGTTTGTCAGACTCTTGTGACCCACTATTTCTGGGGTGCCTTGATAGTCGAAGAAGACTTTGTGCTGTTGAAGCTAGAGATGCGAGCATAGTAAGTCTGATTCCCTGTAAGGACTTCTCTGTTGACATCCACCCCTTGGCGCTCATATGACCTTATGCAGTTGCGGGCGCCGAAAAACCTCTACTAAAACTTTAAAAAACTATTTAAAAAAGCTCCGTGTTACCGTCTGTCTACTAGAAGGACAAAGAGTGACCTAAGAGTGTGCTGTTTTCACTTTATACCTCATTATTTTAAATAAACATTTTTGTGCAGCACTCCAAATCCACATTAATAATTTAATAGTCAGATTTAAAATAGACATAGCTTATATAACACTTTGGTCAGTAGTTAGTTGGGTGGAGAATAGGCATCATTGCAGGCAGCACAATGCCATTATAACACTTTGACATTTTGGTTTCCTCTCTTAACTTTCTTTACGAGTTCATTGCAGTTATAAAAATTGCGATCATGTGTAATGACTGAGTTTAAAAGCAGTCTTAATGAAACAGCAAAATAAGATTTGAAATTGGGACTACTTCTCAGACTTCTGTATCTGTGCGTCTGCTCTTCTTTTTATTTTTTTCCTTACTCAGGATTTTGTAACACTAACACAATCTCGAGTGCCCCAAATTCTGTTCACCTCTTGCTTCTAAAATTGACTGGTACCAATGTCACTGAAGTACTATTTGTATGACTGTGGCCTCAGTAAAGTAGTCTAATGGTTAGGCTTTGTTGGGCTGGCATCTGAAAGGTCGTAGGTTCGAACCTTGTCCAGGACCCAACATTGTATCCTTGGGAAAGGCACGTCACTCTGGTGGGAATGGGTACCCAGATCTGGTCAGTTTGTTTAAGTTTCAGCTTTTAATTTTTGGCTGCTTGCACTGTATGCTTCCTGGAAAGCTTGAGTGTTCTTGGGCCTTCAGGGGTACCAATGTTGAAAAGTGCAGAGAGGTTGCTGTTGAGTGGGGATATATGCACATAGAGATACAAATATATGCTTTGTATTATTATTATTATTATTATTTATGTTAAAAATCATACTTTTTGATTTCAGATAACATTCTTGGCATTTCGTGGCATGACACGGCCTGGGTGCCTCACTTAAACCAGAGCAACATTCTAGACTACTTCTCCGAGAGGACCAACCCTTTCTATGACAGAACTTGCAATAATGAAACTATCAAAATGCAGAGGCTAAATCCTGACCAAATGCTGTAAGTGAACATGGCAGATAGTATTATACATACATATAAAGTTGCCTTTTGCTGTATCATATGTGTATAGTTTATTGGTTTACAGATTTTTTGCTGTTACATTGTTAGAAACTGAATTTTACCTCTGTTTGTTATATCAGCCTTCTTTGTCGAGATATTTTTTTTATGTTGTCAATTTTGACAAATTGAAATTAAGGCATCTTTTGCTAGCACTAGCGGCCTATTTAATGGACCGACAACTCTAGGAGGGTTAAAGTTTGTGAGCTGAACAAGAGAAAGACTGATTCTGTGATATACAAAATAAAGAATTAGAAGTCAATATTTCTGTAATGATATTTGTCATGGGTGAACTCTCTCAGAAAATTCTATCTTCTTTGAGATAGTACATATTTTAAAAACGTCAAAGGTGTCTTTTGTTCATCACTGGCAGAAACATGACAGGACTGGAATATTCCTTGCTGCACGCTCAAGAACCTATTCTGTACGTGATCAGGAAGCAGCACCGTCATTCACCCACTCAAGGTATTCCGAAGTGCGATTCCAGTTATTATTGTCTCGTTGGTTGAAGGGCAGTACAGTCAAAACTGTCTAAGACGGTCACCCATTGTTGAGGAGAAAAGTGGACGTCTTAGACAGGTGGCTGTCTTACACAGAGTCTTTATTATGGAAAGAATATATGTGAGGCAGCGTGGTGGAATCAGGCTCTCGTCAATTTTTGGGCATGTAGAGTTATTGGTATCATCTTAAAGCTTGTTCACTTGTCTTTATTTGGATTTTAAAAAACATCCATTTATCTTGAATACAAGTCGAGATATTTGCGAAAGGAGGTGGGGGTCACCTATTTTCAGAGGTAAAATTAGTGAGAAAATGGCCGCCTAAGATTAGTTATTTCCTTAACTTAAAAATCCGAGGTAACTGAAAATGTACATTTTTGTACCTTTAATCAACGCTTTTCTGAAAAATCCATACAGAAAATAGTTCTTTAGCCAAAAAACAAAAATTTGATAAAAATTCACAAACTTGCAGAAAAATGCAAGTTTCCTCACTTTGATTATTTTGACGAGAGCCTGATTCCACCACGCTGCCTCACATATGGAGGGGTGCTGTTTGTACAGGTGATTGTCTTATAAAGATGGCTGTTAGAGCAGGTACGACATACTGGAAAGACTGAATGGTTCTCACACAGAGAAATCCATCATGGAGACTATCGATTTGACGGCATTAATCTGCAGTGTATTGATAGCAGTCAGTACTTCTGTTTGATAGAATGTGTGGTTTGAAAACCTCAATGTTTATGATGTGTGGGTGGTTGGCGGGTACTCTGGTGTGGTTTGCTTTGCTTTGCTCCTTCTTTCCCATCAAAAACTATTGTCCTTCTCTCTCCTCCTCCTTATTTGTGTTTGTTACTCTCTTGTAACACCTCTAATCTTCGGCCACCCCCCGGGGCAGTGCCACTGACTGTAGTGTTTTTAGGCCATTCCCAAAGAGGGGGACATTTCTCGTTCAAGCATAGTAGAATTGTAAATGGGCTGACTCATGTCACGCTCATAACTGTGCCTGATCTACAAGAGGGAACTTCTGCTATTGTCATTTTCCTCTACTTCTTATGTACATTTGTCACTCACTTGTGACCTGCTATTTTGGGGTGCCTTGATAGTCGAAGCAGACCTTGTGCTGTTGAAGCTAGTGAGGTGAGCAGTCTAAGTCTGATTCCCTGTAAAGACTTCTCTGTTGACACCCACCCCTTGGCGCTCATATGACCTTATGCAGTTGCGAGTGCCGTAAAACCCTCCACTATAAAACAAATAAATTTAAATCTTCGGCACTTATATGACCTTATTGTGTTGCAAGTGCCGTAAAACTCTTGCTAAAACTAAAATCCACAATGTTTGTTAATGTAGTCACAAATGTGTCACTGGGTGTTGTGAGGCAATGTTCCTTGTCAGATAAGATAGAGGGGAGCAAGTCATCCAAAAAGGGAGGGGGGGGGGAGAAGGGTTGAATGTGGCTGTATTTGTTCACAAAAGCATGTATGCGAGTCATGTGATTTGGTCGCTTTTAAGGACAAGCGGGCTAACCCAGATTTCGAGGGTTTCCAGAAATCTTGACCTACACCAAAAGTGGGCATTGCCCTACCAAGAGGAGAAGTTTGGTTTCATTGGTGTGTATATTCGTTTGGTTACAGAGAAAACTCTCATTGCCTTTTAAAGAAATTGAACAAGGGGCAAAAGCTTTTCCTTAGATTTTCTCAAAACAGCATTTTTCGGGATAGCCCCCTTGTGCTTAAAAGCGACCAATTGAGATAATGGTCAGAGGCCTCTGTCTCCTTGACTCTTTGTTGATTTTATAAGATCATCCAGTCTTATTTCCTCTCGTTACTTTTTCTTTACTTTTCCGATCCAGCGGCCATTTGAGTTCTAGCCCTTCGGCCTGTCGATATGGCAAAGAATTTACTGGTTTTTATTAGCTGTGTTTTGTCGTTGTATAGAGTATTTCTGATGTCTGGGGAGGCAGGTAGGTAGGTAGGTACTATGCAGGTCGCTAAGTGCTGGGCAGGTAAAGAGGTGGTGTGATACTGTTTCATCCTGGCTGTCACAAAAGGGGCGGTTGGGTAGGGTATCCTTGCGGATCCTATTTAGGTAGGAATTCAATGGGATGTGTTGTGTTCGCAGGTGAAAGATATAGTGACTTGTTCTCTTCTACTCTGGGAATTTAGTGCATCATCTCCTCTGGTTGAACAGTTCCGGTACTCGGAGGCAGAAGTATGAAGAACTACGGTCCATGATGATCCTGTAATTTTTGTTTTTGTCCGCAGCCACACCTCTGGCGGACTACTACATCATTGCTGGCACGGTGTATCAAGGGCCAGACCTGTGCTCCGTGGTCAACTCCAGAATGGTGAGTTGAAGAAAGTTACACACAGATAGTGGCCTTGAAAAAATCTGATAATATTGAAAGCGTGCCGATAAAATGAGTTACTTCTAGGATTGGAGCCCTGTGGAAGTAGAGATACATCAGGCTAATAGCTGAAGTTTTTACAATTCATAAATAGGAAATAACTTGCTGGGACCCCTTTCCATGAAAGGAATGATCGGTGTCTTAACATTAACTGAAAGTCATTGGCCTACTATATTTACACTCTAGTACTGGAATGGAGCAATAAATCTTGAGAGATGCAAAAAATTAGGTCTAGATTTATGCTCTCCAAACAACAGTGCGCTTGGCTAGTGAACGGAAACCTCACTTTTTTACAATGGTGTTTTAGAAGTCGGACTTTCCCAAGAATAGATCTAAACGAACTTAATGAAAAACTGAAAATTAGACTACAGTGACTTCAGGCTCCTCAGTAAAACTGTGCGCCCTTTAAATGATTCTGAACCAACATTTATTTTGTCAAATTCGAAAGTTGGGAAGTTTTAGGCAGCCCAAGTGAGGGACTTTCACAAATATAATGTGTAGAGATAAACGGCATGTTGTACTTAAATGAATAGAAAATCTACCAATTTGACCCTAGTGTGGATTATTGGCCAATATCTCCATCTGTGGATTGCGAGAAAGTAGCCAGTTTCTTCTATGACCCGAGAATATTATTTTATTCCTTTTAAAAAAAATTAAAAAAAAAAAATTCCAATGTGAAGCAGCGTGGTGAAATGAGACGCTTGTCAAAATAATGAAAGTGAAGAAACTGGCTTTTTCCCACAGGTTTGGCAATTTTAATTAATTTTACTTTTTGGCTCAACACCCTTCACGCCCATTAAAGAGCACATTTCTGTGTGGATTTTACTGAAAAGCATTGATTAAAGGCACAAAAAGTATTAAGCTTCAGTTAGCAATGCCAATCGGGCTTTCCCGCGCGGCGAAAATTTGGTCCCTGTTTGCGGGCGATTTTGCGGACCCGGCCGAAGCGTAGGTAACTAACTTTGTCAGCTTCGGTCTGCTCTATTTCTGAACCAATCCGAATGAGACTTGGCAACCAATCAGAAAAAAGGGGAAACTAATGATATGTGGACGTTGAAGTTCGTACACATAAATTAACGTATACTTTTCGTGTCGGGAACACTTTCGTATCGTGTACACCGAAAACTATAAGGAGTTTGAATTTCAACGCCGAGATGGTAATAGATCTATCTATTCTCTATAGTGTGCTCAAATTTGAACGTTCTGAGTCAAGTATTTGTTTAGACCCGATCATAAATGCACGACTACCCCCCTATCCAAAGCGGCTTCACACAGAGACCGGCCATTTTCCCCTCACTCTCGCGGCAAATGTATGTGACCTACAAATCCCCGCATGACTATTTCGCGCCCGTTCATTGGTCACTTGAAATAGGGCAATGGCGGGCGCGCGCAACCGGTTGTTTTTCTCTCTATTCCCCTGTAACATCGCAGTGGGGGTATTCCGAGGCGAGTTTTTCTCGTCTCGGGGTGTTCGCGTCTCAACGGGTAAGAAGAATTTTTAATTGTACGGCATGCTAGATTGAATTAACTTATCTTTTACGGTTGGCATGGTCTAAAGTCATCATAAAAAGCTTTGCAATTATTTAGTCACGCTGCCGACATATATTCCTAAAGATCCCATGTTGTGATACGATGCTATAAATAAAATGGACTCACCCTGACACCCCTTTTTCGCAAAATCGTAATAGGTACACCAAAATTTTAATTATAACAAAATAACTACGAAATGGGTAGTAAATCTGACTGCAGAAATGATTTCTACATCCAAAAACATATCGGGTAGCCAAGTTTCTCTCTAACACTCCGATTAGTTACAGAGATATCGTCAATTTTCTTACAGAATCTGCTACTGCGTGGTCCACTTTTTAGGAGTATTTTCCTATATGATGTGGGTCATCCATATTTTGCCGACTTTTACAACCCCATAATTTTTTAAATTTATGAACCGATTCTTAAAATTTAAGCAGCATAGTTCTTAAAATTGAATTGAAAATTCTTTCTTAGGTACCAAATAAAAAAGGGCTAAAGTGGAAATTTAAATTTTCATTGGCATTGCTACTTCACTTTCTAATCAGTTCTAATGACGAAAATAGCATGATTACCTTAATATGTTTCAGACACAACGAGGAAATAAACATTTCGATTAGTTTGAGCTCAAATTTGATTAAAATTGTTTTCAATGTGCTCCACAGCTGAACACCCTCCACAATCTACAGTCTGCCTTTGATGAAGGTAAGTGTGTGTCTGATATTTCTGCTGTGAGCGACTGTTGTTTGTGAAGGTAAGTGTGTGTCTGTGATATGTCTGCTGTGAGCGACTGTTGTTTGATGAAGGTAAGTGTGTGTCTGTGATATGTCTGCTGTGAGCGACTGTTGTTTGTGAAGGTAAGTGTGTGTCTGTGATATGTCTGCTGTGAGCGACTGTTGTTTGATGAAGGTAAGTGTGTGTCTGTGATACGTCTGCTGCGAGCGACTGTTCTTTGTGATGGTGGCAGTAACTAGGCAGACATTTGAACGAGACATTTATCTTTTAACCCTATCCATTTGCCCTGGGGTCATTTTGTACCCCCGGGGTTGTATTCTTCACATTTTAGAATACGTCTAGGATGAAGATCTCTTTGAAACTTTCAGTATTTCTGAAAAAACCCCCACATTTTGACAGACTGCTATGCAAAGCATACGGATCGGATTAACAAGTAAATTTCCGCTTTGAAAAGTGGTGGCACAGAGTTCCCCATGTCGTATGGATACGATCGCAGAACACGATGTACGGATAGGGTTAAGGATTATTCTCTCTAATAGGTATGAAAACAGCAGTTATCATTGTAAGAAGTGAAGCTTCTTCTAAAGTCTTACTTCTTGGCCACTGATCTGTCATTGCTTCTTCATGTCCATCTCCTCTGTTCTTCTCACACACTTTGTCTTACTTTTTAAAAATTTAGCCATATCATATTCTGACATAAAAAAGGAGGTTTTGATTTCTTAAAAATTTACATAAATATGGTGATTATTTAGTATGAAATACTTAAGCACCTTAAGTATGAAAATGTTTTGAGTTACTGTAATAATTGTCGTTTTTGCTGTTATATCATATTTGATTGTCGTTTTTCATGTTGTATCATATTTGATTGTCGTTTTTCATGTTGTATCATATTTGATTGTCGTTTTTCATGTTGTATCATATTTGATTGTCGTTTTTCATGTTGTATCATATTTGATTGTCGTTTTTCATGTTATATCATATTTGATGTCCACAGCTCAAAGTTTTGCCCGGTTCCATCCCTCAAGAGGTTACTCTTGGGAGTTTAAAGAAAAGGAGGAGAAAGGTGGGTCTGTTTTCTCATGTTCATTTGGAGTTCAACTTAGTGTCGCTTTTTTCATGGATTACAGTGGGTTGTTGGGGGGTGCTCTGGTGTGGTTTGCTTCTTCTTTCCTATCAAACATCTATCGTCTTTATCTTCCCTCCTTTTTCATTTATTGCTCTCTTGTAATTCCTCTAATTTTCGGCACTTATATGACCTTATTGTGTTGCAAGTGCTGTAAAACTCTTACTACAACTCTTAATTACTGCTACCGGCACATGTGGTGTAGTGTGTAGATACTTTTCTGTCACATGCAGAAGTCCTCAGTCTGATTCCCGAGTGGGGAGAATTTTTATTCCCTCGGGATGTTGTATCCCTCTGAGCCAGGGTTTGCACTGACAGAACACATGTCTGTATTGTGGTCGATAAAAGAAGTTCCCATTGGTCACACGTTTCTTCTAACGCATGCTCAGATTCAACAAAACTGAAAGTTGGGCCAGACGACTTCGTCATATGCGAGTTTTACGGTATATATATTTTTAGCAAGCTGTTCAACTATTTTAAATCAAGAAAGGAAAATATTTTAGGAAATAGAAGAAAAAAACGCATCAGTTCTTTTCTTTTTTACAACCGTACGTACATTATGGATCTTTCTTGTGTTTTTCAACATTAAGAATCTGAATTTAGACAAAACATTTCTCGAGCATATGCATTGGTCGGATACTACAGATTAAGAAACTGGTTTAAACAATTTGGGGTTAGTACATGGGAAAAGATGGCCAGTGCTGTAAAACAAATTTTGCCTTTTACACGTAGATTCTTTATATTTGAAACACTTACTTTACTTTACTTTTCCGATCCAGCGGCCATTTGGGTTCTAGCCCTTCGGCACAACATACACAGCGAACTTCGTAGATCACAAAAAGATTTCCACGTCCTATTGATTTCAGTATGTGCATGCTAAACTGTAATCAGTTATTAAACGTTAAAAAACCGAATTAAATTAAAGGTACAGAAAAAGCAGTGCTCCAACAGTTCCCTTGAATAACTTTAACTTCGAAGTGAAATGTTTTAACCCACCTTTTAAATAAAGCAAAGTAACGCGTGTGTTTTGTTGTGTGTGCAAAAGCCGAAGGGCTTGAGCTCAAATGACCGCTATCGTCCTTATCTCCCCTTCTTTTTTTATGTTTGTTACTCTCTTGTAACACCTCTAATCTTCTGGCACTCATATGACCTTATGCAGTTGCGAGCGCCGTAAAACCTCTACTAAAACCAAAACCGCTGGATCAGAAAAGTAAAATAAGTAAAGCAAGTGTTTTGTTGCGGTGTCCCCTAACGTTTTGATTTCCTTTTTCTCCCACTGTTGTCTTGCGACCCAAAGAGCCCACGGCTAAAGACAAGAAGAAAAAGAAGAAAGAGGAAGCGAGCTCGTCGTTCCAACGGGAGAGAGTGGACCTCTTGTTGGGGGAGCTGGCCAAGAAGCACCCTCCCTTCTTCATCTCCCCGACGCAGCCTGCGGTCAAAGGTAGGACGGTTGGTGGGTGGCGGGAGATTTGAACAAAGCCCATACTTTAGTAGGCTGTGTTTCCCCTTAGTAAGGATAGGTAATGGCACAAGTTGTAAATATAGTACATGAAAAAAAGTCTTTGATAAACTGCAAGAAAGATGGTGTTTGATGGGTGCTCTGGTGTGGTTTGCTTCTTCTCTCCTATCAAACGTCTATCGTCCTCTCTCATCCTCCTTTTTTGTGTTTGTTACTCTCTTGTAACACCTTTTATCTTCGGCACTTATATGACCTTATTGTGTTGCGAGTGCCGTAAAACTCTTACTAACACAAAAACAAAACAAGTAGAAAAATGTTATGTTAGTGAACCAGTTTGGGAGAACACAAGGGAATATTGCATCTCTAACAGTGGATGTTGTATGTCCACACCACAGTGCAGTAAAGACGACTGTGGGAGAACACAAGTGAATGGTGTATCTCTAACAATGGATAGAAGTGTATCTCTAACAGCTGATAATGTATCTCTGACAGCTGATAGTGTATCTCTAACAGCTGATAGTGTATCTCTGACAGCTGATAGTGTATCTCTGACAGCTGATAGTGTATCTCTGACAGCTGAAAGTGTATCTCTGACAGCTGATAGTGTATCTCTAACAGCTGATAGTGTATCTCTGACAGCTGATAGTGTATCTCTGACAGCTGATAGTGTATCTCTGACAGACAATGGATAGAAGTGTATCTCTAACAGCTGATAGTGTATCCCCAACAGTGGATACAAGTGTATCCCTAACAGCGGACTAGTATTTATTTATGTATGTAAAACAATTTCCTGTGTGTTTACTCTAAGACTAACAGCTAATTTCAAAATCCAAAATGCAGCACAGTTTGTTGTTATTACTAAACACAAAAGCGCCAGATGATAGAATTGGGCAGGGTACAAAAAAACAAAAACAAAAAACAGGGGACCAGTAAACAGAACTTGTGTGTTCTTTCAGAAGAGGCAAAACCAGCAGCAGCAGCCACTGCGGAGGTGAAGACGGAGAAGCCAGAGGAGAAGCCGGCCACGACGACACCCGCTGCAGCCCCAGCCAACGGCAGCATGAGACCTCCACCGGAAAAGAAACAAAAGCTGAGATGACCGGGCTGAACCTCGGGGGGAGATTTGATTTTGTCGTGGGCATGATTGTATCGTGATGATTGTACGGGGTTGTGTGGGGTGATTGGATGAGGTGATTGTATGGGATGATTATGGCTGAAGTGTGATGAGATGAGAGAAACTGATATTGGTGGGAGTGTGTGTGTGTGAGAGTGTGTGTCTGTGTGTGTGTATGTGTGTGAGAGAAAGAGAGAGAGATTTTTCTGATGACTCAAAGCTCACCATGAACAATTGATCTGGATTTCCAGAAGGCGAAAGTCTTTGTAGTGTGACTTGTTAATAAGAATGAGACGGATAGACTGAGAGAGACAGGGTGAAAGAGAAAGAGAGAGAGGGATTGGGGATTTAGTTTTTATCTCAAAATTGTTTGTAAATTTTATGTATGGTAGTTGAAATGCAACGGTCAAGTATTTTTTTAAACCTGGAGATTAAATGAATGTAATGCTTTGAATTATTCTTCCTATTTGTCATTGGAACTTGACTCAACTGATTCAAAAATAAAATGTTTTCTTCCTTTTACTGAGGAAGTTGTGAAGCATTTTTAAATTTTGCCATTCAAGATTTGGGAGCACAATGTGTATTGCTATGATATTTTCTTGTTGTAATTTCTGTAATGTCTTCAACAGACTGGTTATTTTGATATAAAGTCTGGTGTGGAAAAAAATGAGGTAGAGTGTTGTTCGTTGTGTTCAATTCTTTGAAGTAAGATGCAGGGAATTCTTAAGAGTTGGGCTTACTTTTGCCTCTTTGTACGGAATGTTCGTACTTTTTGAACAGTTTTCCCCCATGCAATGGGCCATGGCTGTTTCTTCTTGCTCACAAATAACACATTTTTGAAGATTTAATACTGCTGTCTAACTCTAAAGGCAGAATGACGTAACTGCACGTTTCATGATTTTGAGAAGAATGCGAAAAACTTTTACTGCTTGGCTTGGTTAAAGTTAGGAATGTTCTTAACTCACTGAAGACGTTTCCCGTTAATAACACGGGATGGCCCATCAGTTCTGTGAGATGGTTCCCGTGGAAAACACAGGATCGTCATTATCGCCGTTTAGCGTCTACGCCAATGCCGCTAAAAGCACGGGATCTCTGACTAAGAATAAGATGTATGCACAGCCATTTGTTTCGTTCCACACAAAAATTCCCGGAAATTGGTCAATAACTTTTTGATCCAGAGCATTTATTTATTTTTTTTAGTTAGGTGACTGCTACGACTGCTTGTGAGGCGTCTTATTCGTAAATTTGCTGAACATTGAATTTTATACCTTAAAAAAAAAAAAATGACAAATAATAATAATCTAGCAGAGATAAACACTTATACTTTGGTATGTTTATTGTTGTTGTGTTGTTCTTGATTATGTCAAAAGGGCATTGCCCTTGGTTAAATGGTTCAGATTTTATATGATTTTGAAAAAAAAAAATCCAACCTTCAGTCTTCAGTGCTTGTATTTATTATAATTTATATATATAAATATAAAATCCTTCAGTCTTCAGTGAGTTAAATTTCAATGTGGTTGTGCGGGAATACAGACTTGTCACTGCCATAGACAGCTGGGTTAAGTTCGGTCACGTACGTGGCTTTGCTATAGTGAATACCATTAGTTAGTACTATTTTAGTTGTGTAGTGTAGATGTTATCCGTGGGTGGTTGGCGGGTGCTGTGGTGTGGTTTGCTCCTTCTTTCCTATCAAACATCTTATTCGTCCTGATCTCTCCTCCCTTTTTGTGTTTGTTACTCGCTTGTATCCCCTCTAATCTTCGGCACTTATTGTGTTGCAAGTGCAGTAAAACTTTTACTAAAACTAAGATATTAGTCCTGACTTTCGTTCACACAACAAGGATGTGGACTAGACTAGTGCAACAAAACAATAAAATGTAAAAATTTGATTTTGTCAAAAACGTAGCTATGCCTTGGGACTACGGAGCTATGCCTTGGGACTACGGAACAGCACAGGATATTTTTTAGAGGTGGGTGCTACGTAACTACGGACTTCAAGAAAATCAAATATCATGTGGTAGGGGTAGTTTATTCACAATAACTTACATCATGTAATTATTGTCATTTTGATCTACGCACAATGTTTTATATTGTGCATATTTCTGTATCGTTTCATATTGAGACGGTGGAATGTGAGTGTTCGAAAAAATTGTTATATCGTCTGCCAGTTGTTCAGATGTACAAAGCTCAAAAGCAGTAAATAAAAATAATAAATTTATTTGCAGTCTCGTCATAACTAATCTGTGGTATGGGCTGCATGAGCTCCAGAGATATTGGTTAAAATTGGAAATTCTAAATGTTGAAAAAAAGCATGAAGAAGAGATACAAGATGTACAATTCTTCATAAAACTGTTTTTTGTCTCTATCCTGAACAATTTTGCTTTCTGGGCTTAGTACATTTGAACAGCTAGCTGGTGATGTGTATGTTTACACCGGTGTGGGGTATGTTTAGTTTACACTGGTGTGTGTTTGTGGGGTATGTTTAGTTTACACCAGTGTGTTTGTCTCCATGTGTGGGTGTAGGATAATTTTACACGTGAGAGTGTAGCTTTGTTCATGGACCAGGCTGGAAGAAAAGTGGGAAAGTTTTTACAGTTTTGTTGTAGTATGTAGTAGTAGTATAAGGTTTTACGGCGCTCGCAACTGCTAAGGTCATATGAGCGCACAGTTTTGTTGAGATTGAGTACGTTAGGTAACTGATGGACTGATGGCTCTGTTGGCAACACACTGATGCAGTGCTGTGATTTGTAAAGGGGACTTGAACTGAAGAATAAAGATTTATGTGGACACTTTCTCTCTCGTTGAATTCAATGGGTAATAATTATGAGAAAGCTCCACTTGTGTTAATTATTCTGGCAAGTTCTGTGAGTGTTGCTCTGCAGGGCCATTGATAGTGGCGTAAAATAAAAAGCTGTGGTTGTGTGGGTGGTTGGTGAGTGTACTCCTTTCCTATCAAACAGTTATTGTCTTTATCTCTTCTCCTTCTTTTCTGTGTACGTTTTTCTCCAGTAACACCTATCTTCGGCACTTACTTGAGTTGCAAGTGCCGTAAAACTTTAAGTAAAACTGAAAGAGTTGAGGTACATGGATTCCTTACTTTTATAGAGACTGATGACCAGACCAATCTGTGGAGTAAACACCAACCTAGACAAAGTGTCACAGCTTGGGACTGATTCTACGAGAGATCTGTTCAATTAATACAGCTAATTCGAACACACCTCTAGGATAAACAGATTTTGGCTCAAAGTCAACTTTGACTCGAAAGAATTTTAAAAAACAGGGGGTGGATTAAACATGCAGCTTTATTAATGAAATATTGCTTGCAACGCTCACAGATTACAATGCAGTTTGAACCAGTAAGATATAAATTAAATGGGTGATGCTTGGAACACACAAAAAAGGAGAAGAAAAGGCACAAACATGTTCAACCCAAAATAAGTTTCACTTTTGACTTCCTGCAAATCTCGCACAAACTTTACTTTACTTTTCCGATCCAGCGGCCATTTGGGTTCCAGCCCTTCGCTCTGAAATCTCGCACATCAAAATGATATTCGCTCATTGCAGAAATATTTTGTGCTTTAGGTTAGAAGTCTGAGGCCCAGTCATTCTTCATTTTCTAGGTTTCAGAACATCCAGAGGCTTTGATGGAAGTGTTTATTTAATTCTTGTCAAAGACTTCTGAACATAAAGTGTGTTCAGAGCTCATCATTATCTGTGTTCAGAAACTTGCCAGAAAGAGAAGTTCAACTGACTTTATATTAATCTTCTGCCAGCTCCTACTCAGCCCCCAAATCTTTTCTTTAAAAAAAAATCGCAGTTTCTTCATCTGTGGTATCTTTTGTATGTGCTCAAGAAATAATTTGTTAAGATTCTAGATTCTGAGTGGTCGGGAACCCACCCCCCAAAAAAAAAAATAAATAAATAAATAAATAAAAATAAAATAAATTTTAAAATTTTAAAAATTAATTAACAAAAAATAAATAGATCTAAATAAAAAATTTTTAAAATTACTTTATAAAAATTTTGAATAAATAAATAAAAAGTTAAATACATACATAAAAAACTATTATAATAATAGTATTCATAAACCCATAATGTAGGTGTACGAAAAGAAACAGATTTTTAAAATCTCTCCTGAAAAAGTTTGCCTTCTCGGCTTGGTACCTTTCAACAGCTTGTAGTTGATAATAAAGTCTTTGTGAATTCCCATCTAGTTGACAGAACAAAAAAGTGCTCTATACCAATACCATACTTTACATCATCATTTGCACTGTTACGGTTGATTGCTGTACCACAGAACCATGCCACTTGCAATATATGCAAACACACACACGAACACTCACACATGAACACTCACACACTCACACACACACACACGAACACTCACACACACACACGAACTCGGGACAAAAGTCATCAAAGTGCAAAAGACTAAAAATTTCTACCCGAGTACTAATGTATTACATTTCCAAGTTCCTAATGACATGTGGCACGTAGCGCCCCCCCCCCCCCCCCCCCCCCCCAAGTGTCTATACAGCAAGTAAAAACAAACCAAAGTCCAAGGCAAAAACGCTATTTTTCCTGTGGCGATCTAGAATATATTTACAGCCCACGTCTAGTGTCAGGAGTGTGAGTTTTCTGTGTGAAACTCCATACTCTACCTAACAGGGGTGAGGGAGTTCCCCGACATATTATTCAGTTTCCATGGTGTGGAAAAAACGCAAGCGTTCCGTTCCCCTCATGCTTTGATGGAATAGATTGTTTACCTTCCACCAGTCTGTAAAATACAAAACTTAATAAGCGCAATCTATCGAGAACATTTCTTGTAAGATGGCGGCCTATGCTTTGTTGCCTTTCACGCTCCCTTATTAATTGAGAATATCTGGAATGGGCATTTTGTTCAGAGTCGTAGTAGCAGGTCACAGGCGTACAGTACATAGACGACAGCGTCTGTAGCTGATAAATGGGAAACTTGGACTTTTGTCACTCTGACTGAGACTTCAAAAGTTGGAGGTGTGTTTTGTCTGAGGGCAGTGTCACTGTTACGAAAAAAAAAAAAATCTGTATTGCTGAGACATAACTCCAGTCCAATTGGTAAGCAATCAACAAAAAGATGGATATATCCATCTTCAGAAGGAAGACTTTCACCCTTGCACACAAACACACACGAGGAAAAAAATAAATATCAAGTCTCGGCCATAGACAGATGTACAGGTATCACAAAACCTTGTGGCTTTTCCACAAGAAACACACACACACACACACAAACCGTATGTCTAATAATAATTTATTAATATAGAGGCCTTCTATCTGTCTCACAACAGACACATACACAGTTACACACACTCTTTTTTCGAGCATCGAACTTGATTATCCTGCGTGCTACTGAGAGCATCTAACTGTTAACAACCAAACATACACCCTCTTCTTAATAAGACACAAACAACAAAGCCTATCTGTCTCACAACAGACACACATATACACATAATCACACACATCCTTTCAACAAGACAAACAACAAAGCCTGTCTCACAACTGACACACATACACATAATCACACACATCCTCACAACAAGACCCAAAAAACAAATCCCCGACGACCATCACAAAGTGTTGAGCTTGGTGGAGATGAGCACGCGGATGGTCTGGTCGAAAGACGTGCACACGGACAGCCCCATCTTGTCGGGGCTCCAGTCAAAGCTGCTGACGGGCTGTGTGGACATCACCACGTTCTGGAGCAGGTCCACCGTGCCAGCCACGCCCATCTCCACACCCTCCGGGTCTTTCTTGGACCGAGCCGATGGATACGAGCTGCACAAGGGAAAATGGGAATACAATGTGTAAATGTAATAATCTGTGTTCATATTAAGGGGAAAAAATGTTATATATATATAAGAGGCATCGTGGTGAAATCAGGCACTCGTCAAAATAACAAAATTACTAAAACATGCATTTTCGAACCAGTTTGGCAATTTTAATCAAATTTTTGTTTTTTTGTTCAACCCTTTTATGTCCAAATAAAAACTCATTTCCATGTGAATCGTATAGGAAAACGTCAATTAAAAGCTCAAAACAAAATATGCAATTTTTCAGTTTTCAAGGACTCTTTAGCTATTGAAGTTACCAAACTTTGGCTGCCATTTTGTCGCTATTTTTACAACTACAACTAAAAACCAAGCAAACTTACCTCTTTCAATCACAAATATCACTTCAGCTCAAGATAGATGGGTATTTTTTTTAAAAATCAAAAGCTAGATCAATTTAATAAATGAACATGCTTTAAGATGATACCAATAACTCCAAATGTGTAAAAATTGACGAGCGCCTGATTCCACTGCGTCGTGCCACACACACACACACACACACACAATTTATATATATTTATACACACAGTGAAACAATGACATAAAGAACAAGGTCAGGCAGTAAAAATAGTTCTTTATATCAGACAACACACACACACACAAACATATTTTTTCTCACATAGTCAGGTTGCTCTGGGCCTATCCTTGCCTCGTTTGCCTTCAATTTTGCCAGTGAGATCTAGAGATAGGTGTTCAAGGCTGTTTTGTCTATTCAGGTGTCCCAAAAACTGCATTTTGTCTTTTCCTCATCCAAGGCAATGAAGGAGTTAAAACAGGTTATTTATTTTTTTTGCTCTACTATAAAAGAGAGGGTGCGGTGGCGAAGCGGTTTGTGCGCTCGTTTCCGAAGCGGAAAGTCCCGGTTCCAGCCTCGGTTCGGACAGATTTTTTTTCGCCCCCTCCTGCCCACCCAGCAGTAATGGGTACCTGACTTCCAGTTTTGGGGAAGTAAAGGCAGCGCGGAAAGGAACTGGCCACCCTACCACAATATGCTGTAGGCCCAGGAAGTTGTCTCACTAAAAAGGCAATCCCCAATGTCCGGATTAGATGCGGGAACAACTTTGCTTTTTTTTTTTAAAATAAAAGAGAATTGTAATCTTACTATTTCCACAAGTTGAGAGATCCGTTGCCACCACAGGTCATGAACACGTCTCTGTTCTGAGGTAAATGTCGGGTCAGCCAGACTGTGGACTTGTGTGCCTGCCGGAACAGTTGGGGGGGGGACGGTACGAATTAGTGAGGTGGACAAACAATCTAGTGTCAGCAGCCACTGTGTGAGTGTGCGTCTGTGGATGTGTTTGTATGTGTGTGGGCGTGTGTTTGTGTGGATGTGTGTGTTTGTGTATGAGGGTGTGTTTGTGTATGTGGGTGTGTTTGTGTGAGGGTGTGTGTTTGTGTGTGTGTGAGGGTGCGTGTTTATGTATGTGTGTGTGTGTGTGTGTGTGTGTGTGTGTGTGAATGGCGTGTATGTGTGTTTGTACCGCATGCTTTATAAGCATGTGTGTACAGTGTTCTCATCCAAGAGTGTGTTAGCGAGTGAGGGCTGTGTACTATGCCTGAGTTACATGGAACAAAAGTCTATACACTTATCATTGGGAGGATGTTCAATAAATGCAGTAATTCCAGAAAGAAAATTTTTTTTAGGGGTGAGAAAAAACTGTTTGATTCTTTTTTAACAATATCTTTTCTTCTCACTTTGGCAAACATACATCCGTTACCATAGCAACATAGACCTGTCACTGTGGTGCTTGACCTGTCACATTTCTGAGAGAGGGGGCTCCAATGGCTAAGTGAGCAGTGAGTTTAGACTCAAGCAATGTCAAGCAAGTGTCGGTGACACGGGGATCAGATGGGTGGTCACTGGAGTGTGTCCTTGAGCAAGACACGACAACCTGAGCTCAAAATACAGGGCGCTGCACAGAGGCGACCAACAGTGGCATTGTTTGTAAACTGTTCTGTATTTGTGTACTAATAGTGTGTATTTAAGTATGTATTTGTGTATGTAGGTTATTATAATTAAGTATGTATTTGTGTATGTAGGTTATTATAATTAAGTATGTATTTGTGTATGTAGGTTATTATAATTAAGTATGTATTTGTGTATGTAGGTTATTATAATTAAGTATGTATTTGTGTATGTAGGTTATTATAATTAAGTATGTATTTGTGTATGTAGGTTATTATAATTAAGTATGTATTTGTGTATGTAGGTTATTATAATTAAGTATGTATTTGTGTATGTAGGTTATTATAATTAAGTATGTATTTGTGTATGTAGGTTATTATAATTAAGTATGTATGCTTGCCATTGTAAAACAAAGTGCCCTTCTGGGACAAATAAAAAGTGTCATTTATTTTATTTTTTTTTTTTTTTAATTTAAAAAGAAGACGTGAAATATGATCATCAACATACTTTTTCGGAGACATTTGCAAAACCTTTGGTTGGATGTTGTGTCCTCATGTCAAACACGTGGAACTTTGCCTCGAGCGTAGCGGCAGCCAGTTTGTTCATGGCAATATCTTTTCTGTCAAATTCCAAGCAGCACACCTGAAGGAAAAACAAGAAAAATAATCAATTGAACATGCAAGGTGTGCACTTGATCATTTAAAGACAGTTAGTTCAGGCTTTGTCGTGGAATGATGAAGGGTGGTTGGTGGGTTCTGTGGAGAGGTTCGCTCCTTCTTTGTTGTTAAACATCTATCGTTTTTGTCTCTCATTCTTCATTTATTTGTATGTTACTGTTACTCTTTAGTAACACCTCTAATCTTTGGCCCTTATATGACCTATATTTGTATTAAAAGTGCCGTAGAACTGTTACTAAAAAAATTTTTAATGGAATAATGTCAAGAAGCTGTCCCAAGATATGAAAAAGAAGAAAGAGTTTTTCTGTGGCCTTACCTTGACCCATTTTCCTACACTATAATGACATCGTCCAAGACACCCATCACTAATACTGCTACTTTTTTCATCAACAATGGCTGGCCCGTCTAGGACAATTTCGACTTAACCGGCGACATGAAGACATTAGACCAAATAATACATAATCACCGAAACTGTTTTACAGAGCAGCGCTCACCCCATTTTTCACATTGGTCTCCCATTTCAGCGCCATATTTCTCAGGTCGAACAACTTGATGTCTCCGTTGTCATACCCCGCAGCAACACATCTGTCCTCCGCGGAGAACGAGTCGCCTGAAATGGAAGGGACACAGTCTTACAGTTACATGACATTTACTTGTTCAAGCTTAGTATTTTTTTTTAGTAGAGGTTTTATGGCGCTCGCAACGGTATAAGGTCATATGAGCGCCAAGGGATGGATGTCAACAGAGAAGTCCAAACAGAGAATTGGGCTTACTCAGCTCACCTCTCTAGCTTCAACAGTACAAAGTCTGTTTTGACTATCAAGGCACCCCGGAAATAGAGCATCACTAGAGTGTGACAAACATACAAAAGAAGAAGAGGAAAAATGGGCGATAGTAAGGATTAGGAAAAAAAAAAAGCAGCAGTTTCCTGTTGCAGTTCAGGCACAGTTATAAGCATGACATTGATGAATCAGCCCATTTACAATTCTACTGTGCATAAGAACATGGTTAATATCCCCCCTTTGGGAATGGCTTAAAGACAACTTCAGTCAGTAGCACCACCCCCGGGGGGTAAAGCCTAGTATGTCATTCATATACACTAAAATACTAATACAAGCAAAGAGTGCCCTTTCACATTTTTCACTGCGCTTTGACTTTATAAAGGAAATATATGAATATAATAAATGTATATCGTTGCATTCATACTTCATGCACAAACCTCGATAGAGAAAATTTTATGAAATTCAGTTTTTGCCTTTTTCACATCAACAAGACAGGAGACATAAAATGCTGACAAATTGAAACAGTCCACAACATATGGGGAAGTTGGGGTTCTTTTTTCAGTGCTGAGATACAGTATGACAGACAGACAGACAGAAATAACAATATATATATATATATATCAATGGCATGTTCACAACAAAACATGGACAAACAAAGGTCTCTGCTGATAACGTAAGTTGTATCGGCAGACAGGGTCAGATTATCCTGTGTTTGAACTTACATTGCAGCTATGGCTGCTGGATTGGAAAAGTAAAGTTAAGTAAAGTAACTTACACTGTAATGAGACAAAGGGTAGAACTCAGGCAATTTTTTTCACTGGTGAAAATAAGACAACTTTGAATTCAGGAAAAATTAAGAGACATTTCTTATAAGAGAATATAAAGATCTTCGAATTTTGGAGGAGTTTGAGACGCATTTCTTAAAAGTGAAAAATAAGACAACTCTGAATTCTGGAGAAATTGAGAACATGCATCCGTGCCCCAAGTTCATGCCACAGAGGCAAAATGTGATAGGAAAGGATGTTTCTATATGTCTCTACATCAGTTCTTCCATTGACTCAGACACGAAGAAAGTCTTCCACTCTGTCCGCTGCTCTACTATCAGTATACTTTTAACTTTTCTTGATGGACATCTGGTGAAAAAAAGCTATGGTTTATGGTTTCATCTGCAGGCTGGAAGGCTGTTCATTTTTTGGCAGATTGGCTAAATGACAAAATTAATCACTAGAGGGAAAGGGTGTATGTTGGACACAACGCTTTAACATATTTTTTTTTTTATGTCGCCCTTTTTAAAATGTAAATACAAATCAAAAAGCTATTCCTTCTAAAAATCCATGTGCTCTATCCATCCTACAGACTCATTCACTTCTGAGCAAGACAACAAATTGAACAAGCTGACATTGTGCAACCTGACTACAATTCTGTCAGACGGCAATCCATACCAAACGCCACGGTCCAACAGTCTCTTTTTGTCTCCCCTTCTCCCGGCTCCATCGTCGCTACCGGATCGTTCTTCTGCCTGGGGTCCCACACTTTGACAGTTCCTGCCAGATAGAAAAATACAAACAGTGTAATAAAACGCAAAACACTTTTGTACACTTGAAGGCAGTGAAAAAAGTAACAAAATGAAAAGACATGATAAGAAAGGAGTTTAAAAAGAAAAAAAAACAACAACCCCACAACAAGAGTACCATCAAGAGTGTCTAAAAATTTATTTTTTAAACGGGAGAAAAGGGAATGCAAGTAGCTCATTAGTCTAAGTTTTCCAATCAAACTCTCCGGCAGTCACACGAACTGGGTTCCAGAATTGACTGGGAGGGACTCTCCTCTGGAGTCTCAGAAGAAAAAAATCTAAAAGATAACTGATAAAACAAAAACTATAGTCGGTCACACAAATACAGTCCACTCTGCTTGTGTTGAACTCGCTTGCGCTGATCTTCTGTTAAGTTGATCCTTTTCTCGGGTCCCAGCACCTCTTCTTCTGTACTAAAGTCCCAACGGTTATGTTGAACTTCGAATGAGTTGGTCTTTGTTACACTCCCCCGACGACATCAACTCATCCGTAACCAACTGTTTGTCTCAATCGCAGGCATATATATAGGCTATTTAAATTGGATGAAACACCTCGATGAATGCGACACCCACTATATTTAACTTGGATGAAACACCTAGATGAATGTGACACCCACTGTATTTAACTTGGATGAAACACCTCGATGAATGCGACACCCACTGTATTTAACTTGGATGAAACACCTCGATGAATGCGACACCCACTGTATTTAACTTGAATGAAACCCCTCGTTGAACATACCGTCCCGACTGCCAGTGACCAGCTCAGGGGCTCCCTCTCCAATACCCAGACCTCCGACTCCATCGATGCAGTTGATGATCTCTTTGTGGCCCTGGGCCGAATACACCGGGAGCTCAAGGGACTCAAGGTTCCTGAGACGAAAAGAGAATTTTTGTATCATATATCACTGTCTTTTTGTAAAGTTTTAAACATTTCTCTACTACTGCTTTTATAAGGAAATATAGAAAACAGGAAGGGGTGGGGGCAAAAGTAGTAGCTACAGATAACAGGTAACATAAAATGATAAAGAAAGAAAAATTATTTACTCTTGTCAATTATGCATTTTTATTATAAAATGCATTCCACAATTTTTCATTTGCTTTACAAATTCAGCTTCAACTCAAGATGAAAACTTAGTACACAAAATTAAATCATTAGTAATTAATGTGTCAGATTGCTTGACTTTCGGCTAACATAAAAATATGACAAAAGAGTTAAATTATTGACTGTTTAAACCATCTCACAAGCTTGTCATTCCCACTCATACTATAAGACAGCGAATGTATCTGTTGACTTTTTTTTTTCATAAGAGTTTTATGGCACTTGCAACACAATAAGGTCATATAAGTGCCAAAGAATAGATTATGTGTGTTACAAGAGAGTAACGTACACAAAAAAGAAGGAGGAAAGATAAGGACGATAGATGTTTGATAGGAAAGAAGGAGCAAAACCACACCAGAGCACCCTCCAACCCCCCACTATATTGACTTTGTACCCACCATATCTGCAACTTGCCGGAGAAATCTCCAGTGGCCAAATGTCTGTTCTGTAAACTTGAGGCAGCAAATGTTCCACACTTGAAAGCTTTCGACTTTTCTACCTAGAAAATGAATACATAAAGCTCATTAAATAATCATGATAATACTATAATACTAATAATAAATAATACTAACTAATAATAATGGTAATAATGCACGCACATACACACAAATAAAATTTCCATAATGCCCACTCCTGTACAATGCAGCTCTAGGTGCTTTACAATGCCTTTATCTTAATGAAAAATATAAAAGTAAATGAACATGCATAAATGCTCTTTAGACTGATGCAAACAAATAAGTAGATATTAATTCACACTATCGTACAATCAATGACGATATATATATATATAATAGATATATATTATACATATATTATACATATATTATACACCACAGCATGAGTACTAGGAATAATACTGATCAACTATCAAGATGACATTATTCGAGGTATAAGTCTCCTTACAGAAACGTTTCCTCCTTCCTTCTTATTGACACTTCTTTTTTTACAACAACAACAATAATAATAAAAGAAGAAGAAGAAGAAGAAGAAGAAGAAGAAGAAGAAGAAGAAGAAGAAGAATATTATTACTATTATGATAATAATTACATTTATATCACGCATCCATGCTCTACAACATGTCCTTTGTGCTTTACAACTGTCTATTATCACCCCCACTAGACCCTTGAACATGACTCAGAAAACATGTTGGCTTCCCTTGAAGCATGCAGTGCAAATTGCAGATATTACATGCTATAAACACCAACAAACCAACTAGATCTTTTACTGTCTATAGCCAGGTACCCATTCCAGCCTCGGTGATGTCACAGTGATGTGAGGAAAATTCAGGTAAAGTGCCTTTCCCAAGGACACAACATCGGGTCCCTGATGAGACTCCAACCCATGACCTTATGGTAGAAGATCTGAGAGCCTAGCCACTGGCAGATCTCCACCACCACAGAAAACCATTTATCATGCTCGGCTTGAACAAAGAGTCAATAAATCTTAGCTACTTTTGCCCCTTGACACCAGATCTAAGAGGATAAACCACCCATTACCGAGTCAAAAACAGGAAGAAGTTCTGCAGAGGGCCGGCCGACCAACCTACAACACAAAAAAGAGGGATATTTTGAGCGAGGTATACCCTAACCCTAACTCTTGTACAGTTTGTTCAGTGGACCTTATTGTCACTGTAAATGCCGGCCCTCAGCGGAACTCCCCCCCCAAAAAAAACAACAACAACAACAAACCCACCACACTTATGAAAAGCAGAAGTGTGAAAAGACAGATATTTTAGTAACTTACATCTTTTACGATTTTGACATCACCCTGTGACACTTCATAGATTTGCAGCGCGCCTGTACCTCTTGCATAGTTTCCAAGAGCAACAAATTTGGCACTGCAAGGAATCCACTTGGCATCAAAAACAGTGTAGTTGACAGGTTTTTGAATGTGTAGAATGATTTGAGGTTTATCCATGATGACGAAATATTCTTTGCTTTGTGTTCCAAATTATTTCGCCTTAATTTTCAAAACCATCACTGAAATGGAAAAAATATAAATCCAAATTCAATAGAAGATAATTATATGGCCGGCACTATTTCTCCGAACGTTCGGGAAAATAAAGCTAGGCACTATTTCTCCGAACGTTCGGGAAAATAAAGCTGGGCACTATTTCTCCGAACACTCTGAAATCACATCCTTTCCCCCAAATTTAGGATATTATATAGAGTATAGACCTACCAAAGATTGTTCGTATACAATATGGTTCAATCGGTCTAAAAAATGTCCGCAGTAAATATTTATATAAAAAAATACTACAGTTCCAAACAGTTTTTCGCTACAGATATGATGTGTTGCCTTTGAAGGGTGCTGCTCTTAAACTTAATGTGTTCACTCGTGT